GGACATCTGCCATTCTATGAGTCTGCTGAGTATCTCACTTCCCATGTTGGATCACTCTCCCCTTTATTTACTCCATCAGTTAGCGTTAGCAGGTACTAGACTTGTCTATGTGTTCCCTTTGACTCCCAGTCCCTTCACCATGACCAACTGTGAACTGAAACTGATCACCTGGAACAGTGAGATGGCATTGGTACATGCCACCTCGATGGGATTGAATTGGAATCCCCTGGTATGCTTCCAACTCCACCACTTGGGGCAAGTCAGCCTGAGCATGTCCCAAATTATACATCTCTTCCCTCTCCCATTCCCACCACCATGTTCAACAGGGATCACATTTCAGTTAATTTTCAACACTTAAGAATAACTGTGCATCAATTACAGATCTAAACCAGTCATATTAAGTAGAACAGATTTCACCAAAGATGATTGATGTCAGGATCATCAGAAAATATTTGTCTAGTGAAATATAAAATCCAGTCTTCTTTCATGCCCTTTCTTCCTCTGTTTTTCCCTGAATTCTTCAAAGGATTATTATTTATTGACAGGATTATTTGGGGGCATGAGGGATTGCTCATCTAGCAGACTGGAAATCAGATAACTTCCCTTAACCTATAATAGATCAGAAATGTCCAGGATTCAGGCTGATCATTTAGTTGTGAATATACTATTTCTATCTTCTCAAGACCAGAACAGAAAAGCCAAAGTGTGTACGTTCTATTCCAAATATAAGCGTGCCAGTGAAATTACAAGCTCAGTTTTAAAAAGAACATTTTGAGAACTGTTTCATAATTAATTTATTCAGGATGATTAAAAGTGGTAATATTTATGCTTTGTGAAAAATGTACCCTTACTAGCTCTGATAAAATAAAGTGGCATTGGTAAATTTCCAAAAGTCTAGGTTTTATAGTCCTATTCATGGTCACTCATTTACAAGCTAAGGGATACTACTGCATCCTTTGGAAACAGGATGGCTGATCTATAATCTTTAGGAAATAGCATTAAGAATACTCAGAAATGGTTGCACAGAAGAGTTGAGTAAAAGTGAAAAGTCAAGGTTGAGTCTCAAGTTTTGTTTTGTCCTAAGTGAGTAGATGATGATTTCTTGCAATTAATTAGGAAGCATAATCACAGGAGCTGTCGAACGTGTTGGACAGAAGGCCGTGAGTTCAGAAAATATCTGTTGGGATGAATGGATGGATGAATGAGTAGAACAATTAAAGATAACATTACTGAAATGAAAAGATGATGAAGAAGTTAACTTATAATGAGATCAGTTCAATCAATTATTTTAAGGTTACCTGATAAACTTGAGGCAGAAAGGATTCGGGTACCTTCCCTGGGCTGAATTGGCAAGTGGATGTGATGACATATGTGCATTGTGAGCGTGGAAATATGCACATCATCCCAAAAATGTCTGAAAATGGGTTACAGTGAATATTTAGAGCATCTGCATGATTTTGAATCATGTAATGGTCTACTGTGATAATTTTAGTCAATGGAGAGTACTGGTGTACTTAAAAGCGCTGTGGTGTAGTAGGCTAAGCATCTGCCTGCAGTGCTGGCATTCCATATGGGTGCAGATTTGTGTCTCGGCCGCTCCACTTCCAATTCTATGGCCTGAAATCAGTGCAGGATGGACTAAGTGCTTGGGCCACTGAACGAAAGGGAGAAGCTCCTGGCTCCTGGCTTTGAATTCGCTCAGCTCTGGCCGCTGCGGCCATCTGGAGAGTGAACCAGTGAATGGAAGATCTCTCTCTAAATCTCTCCTCTCTGTCTGTAACTCTGCCTCTCAAATAAATAAATAAAACCTTTAAAAATAAGTACTGATGGGGCCAGCTCTGTGGCATAGAGGGTAAAGCCACCACCTGCAGGGGCAGCATCCGATATGTGCGCCAGTTTGAGACCTGGCTGCTCAGCTTCTGATCCAGCTCTCTGCTATGGCCTGGGAAAGCAGTAGAAGATGGCCCAAGCCCCTGGGCCCCTGCACCCACATGGGAGACCCGGAGAAAGCTCCTGGCTCCTGGCTTTGGATCAGCGCAGCTCCAGCTATTGCAGTCAATTGGGGAGTGAACCAGTGAATGGAAGATCTTTCTCTCTTCATCTCTCTCTGCCTCTCCATCTCTCTCTGTGTAACTCTTTCAAATAAATAAATAATTCTTTTTTAAAAAAGTACGGGTTGTTAGTTTACTAGTTGCAATGTCTTGTATGATTTTGTGTTAGAAAAATTGTTAAGTCCTTTATAAGTTTTATCTACACTGTCTTTGGTTCTCCTGCTTGAGCTGTATTTTATTTATTAACTACTGAAGACAGTGAAAGTCTTGACTAAAATTGTCATGGAAGTTCTCTTATTTTAATGGAATTTTCCCCATATTCTAACAGATAAATAGATTCCTGGTTTAAATGATAGAGATAATTTTCAAAGTTGCTTCTAAAATATCTCCAAATTTAATTTCCTTGGGTATTTTCCTTAGCCAACATTCTTGCTGACATACTCATATCATCTATTTCTGTCCCAAAGGTGATAGGAGATTTGACAGATAGAGACACATCAGCAGCCATGCCAACTGGCTGCCAACTTGGACATATGTACAGAGCAGAGAGCATGCTAAAGTTCCTTATGCAGAGAGCCAGGAGCCCACTGACATTCACCAATGACTGAAGAATGTGTCAATATCGCTACAGCATAGTCAAGTTTGGAATGAGCCATGTTAAAGGTTCTGGAAAGGAGAAGATGACCACCTGGGTAGGGCACCACTCTGCTATGTATATGTGCCTCATTTGGCATCCAATCCGCATGTCTGCTGCTGGGCTTCCATCTGTCGAATTTCAACATAATGTCAGAGATAAAAACTGGAGACTCCATGGCTTCAAAATGCATTTTTCTGCTGGCTGCCTGATGGCTGTCTGGGGACACAAAATTTAGAAACCATCCTTGCTGACTGACCCTCTTATATGGTATGTACATTTTAATTTTTACTCTACAGAATGTCTACTTAATCTAATCAATATGTAACTTCAGGACAAGCTTTGGAATTTTAAAAATACAAAAGATAGAGAAGATAGTCCATCATATTATCATATATGATAGAATCAGGTTACCTATAAGCATGAGCTAAATTTTGAGATACTTCCCCTTTATCTATTGAATATCTAACTAGAAAAATACAGAATTAACTGAAATACAATTTAATACATAGCATACATTTCAATTATGACTGAATGACAATACCTAAGTTTCTCTAGAATAAATACATCTAGGATTATGAAAATATTTTTCCAAAACTGTTTAATTAAAATTCCCAAAATTCATCTATGATATAGGTATCTTTGCCTCTTTCATAACTATATTTAATTGTATCAGTCATTTAGGGAATTAGTTGATTAGAAGTATGTCAACAATTCTCATCAATTTCATTTTTCTTTCCTTTAATTTTACTTAAAACAGTCTTTTCTTCCCCATATAAACATTCACCTTATTTTGGATATACTTAGAGTTATTTAAAATATTTTTCCATGTATCAGAGATGGCAGTAAGTTCAATCATAGCTTGAGAACAATTAAAAAATAAAAGAGAATTTGGAAAAAGACAGTGGATATCCAAGAATATCTTGAGTAATTTTGTAGTGATGCTTCTTCTCTAGGTAAATATAACTTTATACTCTTTCTTTAGAACGCAGGTATTGCAGGGTTGTAAAGCTGGGATGATTTTCTAATTGGATGACTGATCTGCCTCTGGGGTTTGTGTGTTATGTGTGTGTGTGTTTGTGTGTGTGTGTGTGTGTGTGTGAATGCTGATAGTGCTTTCTTGTGACAGAAACAAAACATTTCATTTTATTTTTTCATTTATTTATTTGCATGCATTTCATAAACACAACATTAGGAACACAATAATTTTTCCCACCATACTTGCCCTCCCACTCCTCCTCCTCCTCCCTCTCCCATTCCCCCTCCTGATTTTTACCAAGATCCATTTTCATTACACTTTATACACAAAAATTTAACTCTATTCTAGGTTACAAGTTTAGCCTTTTGTATGAGAGAATGAAAGAAAAAAAGAGAGAGAAAAATTTTTTAAAAATTAAAAAGAAAACTGTTCCTCAACAGTCCAGACAAGGTCTGTTCAAAGTTATTGCATCTCAAAGTTAATTTTTTTCTTTCTTTTTTTGTTTCTCCCTTTTTCCTTCTCTCTTCTTCTCTCTTTCTCTCCTCTTTCCTTTTAGAAACTTAATGATCTTCAAAGAAGAACCCAAGAATGATACATCCTTTGTGGGCTCTTAGACATAACTATAATTTATGAGACATAGAATATCCTCTGCTTCATACACTAAAAGGAAATGATTCTTTGGGAACAAGTTTTGCTATTAAGTCTCATAATACAACTCGTTGGGTACAGGGGTCCTGCATGGGAAGTTAGTGCACAGTGACTCTTGTTATTTATTTGACAATTAACATTCTGATGTATGACATCAGTGGTCACCTGAGGCTCTGTATATGAACTGCCCAGGCTATGGAAGCCTTTTGTATCCACAACTCGGCAAAGCAACAAGCAAAGTGGAAGTTCTCTCCTTCCTTCAGAGAAAAGTAACTCCTTCTTTGGTGGCTGCTTCTTTCCACTGGAGTCTCAACCACAGAGATCCTTCTTGTAGAACATTTTTCACCACAGAGTCCTGGCTTTCTATGCCTGAAATGCTCCCCTGGGCTTTTCAGCCTGACAAGAATGCCTAAGGGACTGATTCTGAAGTCAGAGTGCTACTTAAGGTGATTGTCATTCTAAGAGTCTGCTGTAAAGACTGCTTCCCTTATTGGATTATTCACTCCTAAAACAAAAGTTATGTAAGATATTGTGGTCAATCTACCTTAGGGCATCCCCAAAGGAGACACATCCTTGGGTAGTTACTTTCATTTGAATGTGGATGGAATGTGTGAATTTGTCTAACCAATAGAATGTGGAAAAGGAGATGGGATGTTACTAACACAATTGTCTTACATTATTTAAGACTCTGTCATAGTACACTGAAGTGACAGTCAGCTGCTAGCCTTGAAAACCAAACAGCCAGGATATGAGGAGAACTAAGTAAGGAACAGCAGGCGGACTCTAAGAACTGAGAATTGTTCCCACCAACAGCTAGCAAAAACCAAACACACACAAAATGGCGAGCTGAATCAGACACCCACTAGGAAAAAAGGTTCTTTGAAGGAACTTATAGATTCTTCCCAGTCAAGTTTCCAAATGAGAACGTGTCCTGGCTAATCCTCATCCCTGGATTCTAGCTTTACAAGCACAGAAGACCCAACCAATCTGTGCCTAGACTCTTGACTCACAGAAATTGACAGATAATGAATCTTTCTTGTTTCAAGCTGAAAAGTTTGAGAAATTAATTCACAGCACTGGAATCTAATGCAGGTTTGTAAATAATTGTCCAAAACTTGTATTTCAATTGGTAGTATGGTACTATTGTATTAGGTTACTAGGAATGCTATAATAAAGTTTCAAAACCATGAGTTTAAATGGAATTTTATTGTCTCAGCTCTGGAGACTAGAAGTACAAAATGAGGTTTTTGCAGGGTTAGTTCCTTCTAAGGACTGTGAAGGAGAATCTGTCCTATAGCTCTCTCCTAGTTTCTGGATGGTTTGCTACTATCTTTTACACTCTTTGGCTTGTAGATACATCATCCTAATCTCTGCCTTCATATGTACCCAATGTACTCCCTGTGCAGAATTTAATTTGTATCTAAATTTCCCTTTGATTTATAAAGACACTAGTCATTCTGCATTAGGGGTGAACTGTTCTCCAGTATGCCTTCATATTAATGACATCAATAACAATCATATTTTTAAGTAAGTTCACACTCAGTTATTGGGAGTTAGGACTTCATTTGACTTTGGAGAAGACAAAACTCAATCTATAGTTGGTGCTTACATCTTACTATAAAAGGAACTTCTAAAAAAAGGAAGAAAATACTGCCATTCTCATTTAAGGTGCTGTGTTTTCAAAATTATAAGTTCTCTTTTCACTCACTGCTTTGTTTATTATAGCTAGAAGAGAGTGCTTTCAACCATTTTTTCACATAACTGTTAGTTTTTTAAAATGCATTTCCTTGGATACTTATTATAGTGACAGGAGCCATAAGAATGCATCATTATACTAAAAAGCTATATCAGCTTTACTCATTGAAATGCAGAAGTATGAATCTTGGTTCATATAATCTAGGGCCCCAAATTATTCAGATTCAGGGCAATATGGAACCCTTTGTGAACTATTAGTATTTTCTTAGCAGTAACTTTTTTTATAACATTTCTGAACATAAACTATGATAATTCACTCTTTATCACCTACATTTAAAGATACTGTCCATTTCCAAATGATTAAAATTTTGAACAGTGAAAAGAATCTTGTGACTATTAGCAATTGAGCACCCCTATCAGTGAAGTGCTTCACTAAGCAGTTGACTTAAATTATTTATTTACTTTGCTTGTTTGAAAGGCATATGAGAGAGAGAGAGAGAGAGAGAGAGAGAGAGAGAGAGAGAACTTGTATCCACTAGTCCACTCTCCAAATGCCTAGAGATGCCAGAGTTAGACCAGGTTAGAGCCAGGAGCCAGGAGCCAGGAACTCCATCCTGGTATCCCACATAGGTGGCAAGGATCCAAACACTTGGACCATCATCCACTGCCTTTCCAAGTGAATTAAAAGGAAGATGAATCAGAAAAATAGCGATTGGATATCCAACAGGACCTCTTACACAAGATGCTGTCAGTGGCTTAACTCAACAACAAACCTCCATCACTTCTTTGCAGCAGTCATATGAAGCAAACCATTTTACAAATGAGAAAAAGAGAATAAACAAGAGGCCCAAAGTCATACAGAGATGGTTAAAACTTAAATTCTAGTCAAATAAATTCTTATTTCAAAGAACCATTCTATCATTGCTGTCCAATAATTTGACATTTATATATTTCACAAAACCTGAATTAAAAAATTCTTTGAGATCAATTATACCACCATAATTTCATCATACAAATGAATAATTATTATTGCTATGTACATCATTTCATTTAGAAATTTCTTTAGATACACCATGGTATTCAAGGAGAAAGCAGGTGGAAAATGACAGGAAAGGAGTTCTGACTTTGGCCATCTTTCATGCCTTTCTTTAACCAACATTCCAGACATTCAAATTACAACCCTGAAGTAACGCTCATGAGTTGGATAACCACAACATGATCTGAGTGGATGCAGGAAGGTATTTAAGAGGGCAACATAATGCCAAAACAAAAGGTAGAAGCTGTACTAGTACTTCAAAACTTCTACTCTGCTGGTGTTTTTCTTTCAATTTCTCATATTAGCTCTTTGTTTCTGTTTACGTTCAAGTATTGCTTAATCTCTGATTTGAATTATTTTTGTGTGTGTGTATTAAAGGAGCCTAGATTAAAATATACTGTGAGTTACATGATTCATTTCATACCCTCAAGCTGTGGGGATATCCACACACATTATTAGATGGGAGCTAACTTGATAAATGTTTCCACAATTTTGTATCTAAAGCCCAGTAATCAAATGATCAGATCTGTTTCCTTCATCATCACAGCATGACCTGATGAGGAACAATCTTCCCTCTCTCCTTCCCAGCTTATGCTGTGATTAATTTGATTGATTTTCAAAACCTGTTGTGTATTTCCTCTGTGTCCTGCCTGAATATTGGTACAATATGGTTGAAGTAGTTTGCATTACTTCCATTTTTGTCTTACATATTTGAATTTCAGGCCACTTAAATCTAACATGTAAATTTCTGTGTTATTAAATGCAAGTGAACATTTTAATCCAACATTTTAGAACCTACCTTTTTTTTACAAGACTGTGTTACTGGCCATAATGTACCATGAGGCACAATAAAGGTATCACAAATAAAAGATATCACAAATAAAAACAAAATGACAAGAGATTTAAATGCTTCTTGCGAATGTAAAAGTCATGTTTTGGTTCTACCATATGTCATATCATGAACATTGAAATATTAATCCAGACTTCCAATCAATAGAGCTAAAAATGGGGCAATTTTCTGTGATTGCATTTCCAAATTAAAATGTTATGAAAACTAAAGGAAAAATGTTCATTCAAAAAAAATTTATTTAGTATCTCTACTGCGGCAGTTATTCTTGAAAGAGCGAGTGAAGAATTATAAATGATAGTCATACACTTCATTGATTTTTTAAAAAACTTATTTTGTTTATTTGAAAGCCAGAGTGAGAGAAAGAGAGAAAAAGAGAGAGAGGGAGAGAGAGAATCAGAATCTTCCATCTGCTGTTTAACTCCCCAAATGGCTTCAACAGCCAAGGCTGGGCCTCACTGAAGCCAGGAGCCAAGAGCCAGAAGAAGCCAAGAGCTTCATACAGACCTCCCACATAGGTACTGGTGCCCAGGGACTTGAGCTAGCTCCTGCTGCTTTCCCAGGCACAACAGCAAGGAACTGGATGGAAAGTGGAACAGCCAGGACTTGAGTCACTGCCCATTTGGGATGCCAACATAGCAGGCGGCAGCCTAATCCATTACTCCACAACCTCACTTTACTGTTAGAAGCACATACTCTAACTAGAAGAAAATGGCTGAATTCCCTCTAATTGTTCAGACCCAAATTTGTCAATAAATCTGGATGTCTTGTTTGGTTCCTAAGATTGCTACTTATTCTAAATATCTTTTTACCAATATGTAAATATTATTGATATCTTTCTTTGTCTTTAGCCAATGAAAATAACTAATCTAGGTCAGGTTTGCACTAGGCTTAAAATACAACTTCTATGTTCTTAGAGCTTTAAAAATCAGCTGCTGAACATAAAACTTTAAGAAAAAGGCATTTCCTTCTGGGATAGAATCCTTAAAAATTTAACTTCAATGCAAAAAAAAAAAGGTACATAACTCAGTATTTTCTCTAATGAAAGAAAATAATTATTTCATTAGCCATTTGCAATTTCAATTAATAACACTTTGGAATATTCTTCTGAAGCCTGGTTTTTAGATACACTCTTGATCTAATAATTTTAAATAAGCCCTGGTGGTGGCAATGGCAGATACAGATTGGAGGTATAGCTATCTTATTACCTTTTCTGTCTGCCTGCAATCCCACTACAAATTTTTTCTTCACTTAGGCAGGTATTATGTGTGCATATATTTAAAATAATTAAAAGTTTCCAAAATGCACAATACACAAATTACATGATTTTTTCTTGTAAGTATCATTTTTAATGTTTTTGTTCTATTTTTTATCTAAATCTACTTTCATAATTGTCTTCTAATATTTTCATATTTGTTAAATATTTGAATATTTTTATTTTATCTATAATTTTAATATATATATTTCTAACAACAATCATGTCACTGAGAATTTATGATTTGAAAGATAAATACTATCTAACCATTTACTTTTAAAAATGTGTAATACTTACCTTTCAAGTAGATGAGTTTCCAAATGATGAGAATAACTCATTTCAATTTTCATAATTTTAAACATCTTCCTCAACTTAGATTACATGTTTGCTTCAAAGATGTTTCTATTTTGGATGTTTGTTTTTTGTGACTTTACATGTGTAGCTATGAAATTGTCATCTGAGTCTCTTACAACCAGCTTTAGTAAACACAAACAATACAATGACATTAAATACAGATGCTCAAACTTTACACAATGAATGAATGACAATTGATGATGGAGCAGTGAGCATGATTAACTCAGTGCAGAGACCAAGCTACAAGAATAATAGTGTCACCCTTTTGTGTCACTCAAAACTACACAATAAATTGAATAAGATCATCCCTTTATTAGCCATGTGAGCATTACAGTGCATTTTTCCTGTACACAATGTGATGCAATCAGCTCTTATATTCTCAGGAACAATACACGTACAACCCTCATATTAGGTATTGTGTCAGCACAGAGCTATTTTTGTTTGTATCTTTTTTTTTTTTTTTTTTTTGACAGGCAGAGTGGACAGTGAGAGAGAGAGAGAGAAAGGTCTTCCTTTGCCGTTGGTTCACCCTCCAATGGCCGCCGCTGCAGCCGGCGCATCGCGCTGATCCGATGGCAGGAGCCAGGAGCCAGGTGCTTTTCCTGGTCTCCCATGGGGTGCAGGGCCCAAGCACCTGGGCCATCCTCCACTGCACTCCCTGGCCATAGCAGAGAGCTGGCCTGGAAGAGGGGCAACCGGGACAGAATCCGGCGCCCTGACCGGGACTAGAACCCGGTGTGCCGGCGCCGCAAGGTGGAGGATTAGCCTATTGAGCCACGGCGCCGGCCTGTTTGTATCTTGAAATCTAAAATGTTCAACTTCTTCCTCAGATGTTTGTAAACTACAACAATAATCCAAAAAATCAGATGAAGAATGCAATAGGAAATATTAAAATAATTTATTCTTAACTCTAAAAATCTAACCCATAGATTCCCCTTTACTTTTTCAGTGCCATTTCAGTAATTAAGCTTCTGATATCACAAATGGACTTAGCAATTTGGAAGCATTATGAACATCATCAACAACAAGGTAATAACCTTTTACCAAAGATATTGGGGCATTTCATCTTCTTTTTAATTAAAAAAAAAACAAGGAACTTAAAGTTTGGGGTAACTTTTTAAGAACTGATACTAGTGTGCTTATGAAATCATAACCACAAGCACTTTGTCTTACTTATTTATTTATTAGCAAGAAGATAGATTTTAAGATAAAGTCTGAAGAAACATTTCTGAATCCCACCAAAAAGTAATGTGTGACTTCCCCCTACTGGCTTAGCAGAATAATAAAAACAATATAAACCCTTGTGAGAATTCCTTAAATTTTAAAATACTAAAACCCTATTGATTTAGAGAATTCAGAAGATATACAATATCTACCAGTAACAGCAGCATCCGTTTATGTACCATATGGACAGGCCTATTGCCATTTACTCATATGCATTTTTAGCTACCCACGTTTACTCTCAATTAGATTAAAAAAAAAAAATAAACCAAGATCATGTACAACATGCAAACATATGCACACACAGAGTGGACACAAAAATCCCTCTCTTGTGTAGTACTTGTATGGATCTTTGCTCTGATTTTCCTGTAATTCTGAAATCATCCCTACTCCTTGCCAACATGGACTGGTTTCGGGTCTCATCATCTGCCGACTACCCGTGTACCATGTAGCTGAGTCTATGCCTGGAACCTCATGTAAAACCTGATGATCACTGCTACTGAGAAACTAGTTCAATACTGAATTATATATTTTAAATCACTTAATTATTGTTGCATCTAGTCAAAATGAAAAAATAACTCAATCTGATGAACCAAAAATAATAGGTGCATATTTTATGTTGCTTTGAAGAAAATTTGCATGTTAATCAATTAATTGCCAAATGCCAAGGAATAATTTGTGTACTGCCTTCTCTCCCTCTGCCTTGCAGTGGTTGCCAAATAAAGATGACCTGAATTAAAAGAAAGACTTTGAATTACACATAAGAATTAACAAGCATGAATACAACAAAGTTCTTTGGGCCTAATTCTAAAGTTACTGCAAAGGAATTTATTCTTTCTAAAATTGCTGAAGTTGTGTCCATACAAAACTAGTTCACACATTTAGTGACTGAATCAAAGCATCTAATATCAGTAAATAAAATTCTCTAAGGAATTATCAAGTCTGAATGTTAAGACAATTAAAATGAGAATGAATACTTCCAATTCTCTAAATATTGCCCTGCTAAACGTATCTAAATAATGAGACGGTTGGCAGCTTAATGATTCACCTGCCCCTGATAAGGAATATATTTTATATCAACCCACCCCTAAAGTAAAAATGCCCTAGATGGTTACTATTGCAGGTAGAACTGTGTCCTATAAAAGATGTTTTTGATGACCTAACTTGTAGTATAAAGGTAAACTTATTTGAAATTGGGCTCTTTTCAGACGCAGTCAAGATGAGGTCATAGGGTTATGCCTTAATCCAACATGATTGGAGGCATTTAAGAAAAGGAGAAGAGGGAAGAGTACTATGAGGAGACATAGGCAGAGACTGAAGTGACTGACGATGCATCTGCTAGTCAAGGAACACCAAGAATTGCTAGGAGCTGCCAGGATGCTAGAAGGATGCAACAGATTCCCCCAGAACCTCCAACAGGAACCAATCCTTCACTACCTATTTTCAGGCGTCTAGTTTCCAGAACTGCATAAAATAAATTTCTGTTGTTTTAAGATACTCAGTTTGTGGTATTTGTTATGACAGCGCCATGAAACTAATACAGCTATTTAACATAATATTTCCTGAAAACCTATGGTAGGCCAAGAACTAAGAGTGTCTTCAAGCCCTTTCCTTCCAGGAGATCCTACCTAGTAAATGACGGTAAGGTGAATCAACCAACAGACTTAGGCATGAAACTATCTTCAAAGTGATATTATACAAGCACATAAGAAAGAGGATTAGCCTACATTAGAGGGAGTCAGAGAGATACATATTCTCAGGGAATATGATTTCTCAGTTAAGATCTAAAGAACAAATATGAATAAGCCAAGAAATATTGGAGCAGGATACGGCTAAGGGTGTGCAGAAATGATGAAATCATTCTAAATACAAAAAGGCTGAACAGTAAAAGAATGAGGCATATGAAGAATTTGTTAAAAAATTTCAATAATTCCAAATCTACTCTTGCAGTGCAAAAATCATGTATATGTATGCCAGCGCCGCGGCTCACTAGGCTAATCCTCCACCTTGTGGCGCCGGCACACCGGGTTCTAGTCCCGGTCGGGGCGCCGGATTCTGTCCCGGTTGCCCCTCTTCCAGGCCAGCTCTGTGCTGTGGCCAGGGAGTGCAGTGGAGGATGGCCCAAGTACTTGGGCCCTGCACCCCATGGGAGACCAGGAGAAGCACCTGGCTCCTGCCTTTGGATCAGTGCGGTACGCTGGGCGCGGCGGCCATTGGAGGGTGAACCAACGGCAAAGGAAGACCCTTCTCTCTGTCTCTCTCTCTCTCTCACTGTCCACTCTGCCTGTTAAAAAAAAAAAAAAACATGTACATGGTATTTGTAGCAAACAGCAAAATGTACTACAGTGAAGCAAGGCGTTTTGTACTTTAAATGCTCTCAGTTAATAAGATAGACTCCCATTAACAAGATATGGTCATTCCTAAGAAGAATTTGTCAGAATAGCAAAGTCATCAAATGCCTTAGTCTTTTAACTTCAAGGCATTTTCTGAAAATTGAAACTCTAAGTCCAGTCACTTAAACAAATATTCCACCACTTCTTTGTTATTTCCAAAGTCTTTTTGAAAGTGCTTTTAAATTATTGCCATCTTTAAATTTTCTCAAACATACAAAGCACTTGGTTTATATTCTAAACAAAAATCTAAACTTGTGTAATCAGTAAAAAACAAAACAAATGATTTTTCTGTATAAAGTGCAAGGAAGCACTTGAAGTTGGTGTGACTGATAGGAGATCAGATGAAAAACTACTCTGAGTCTTGGAGGATACTTAACCAGAGTATTCAAGATTATATTAGTTACTATGGTAACCACATTTTATTGATTAATAGAGTAAATAGTCCCACAAATCTTCAATAAGCTGTTGACATGTTAAGGTTAATCAGAGTAAAATTAAACCATAAACCTCTCTGTTTTACAAACGTAAAAGAGAAAATCAGTGGCCGGTATTTTTCCAAAGAAAGGCACAAGTACTTACATGAAGGCTTAATTGCCTCATTTACACGATGATTTAGAATTCATGGCATTGTAGATTTTACGGTAATGTATTATATTAAGTGAATAAGCTGAGATTCTCCCCCTTTTTAGTCATCCAAATGCATACCTGCTCGTGCTGCTTTTCCATTTTAAAATTTTTCCACTTTTAATGAGACCAATACCATTACCTCAATTCAAAATCTGTTGAATTATACAATATATCTTTTAATCTACTTATTAGCAATTTTTCAGTACAAATGATATGTATACTACATTTTCAGTACCAATGATCATATTATAAGTTCTATACATAAAAATTATACATTCCAGTAGAACACTTGTTAAATTCATATTTGAATATAAACCAACAGAGAACTAAATCATTTCATTCTATGTCTATGAGAAATGTTAAACCAAAGACTGAACTTTCAGGTCAATGAGTAAATTGTTCTTGTTTTCTCTTGAGTACTGTGGCATGTTCTTAAGGATGCGCTTGATGTGTATGTGTGAATGTATGTATGAAATATCCCCTACAGTCAGTTTTCCAGCAAATGTTTTCAAATCAGTAATTCCCTCTTACTTGACAGTTTAGTTTTTTACCTATCCATCTCCAAGTAAGTTTGAATCTTCATTGTTTTTCAAAAGTTTTCAAGCATATCTAGGATTATATTTAATCTACTCGCAGGATCTTCTGGAACAAAGAAATCAAATCTGTGTTCAATTATCTGTTGAAATAGCTTACCATCCTCAAATTCATGACAACTTCAGTGATAATGCTAAATCCAATAGCAAGCACCTTGAAAGAACTGTGAGGTCATTTACTGGTATAACTGTTTTATAATTTTATATGAATATAAAACACAGTTATTTTAAGCTTTTTTAAAGCAGAAAACAATCTTCAATAACATTGTAAGGATAGCTTAAACAACTACATCCACACACGTGTGTGCACACAGACGACACACAGACACACACACAAATGTCCTTATCACTAAACAACAAAAGAAAATTGCAGAATAAAAAAATCGATCTAATTTAAAATGTAAAGAATCCTTCCATTCTTTCAGAATATGCCTTCCTCCTAGTGGCACAGACATTTGCTTTTAGACTCTGAATCTTTAAGGGACAACAGGAGGCAAAGGAGGTTGGCTCAACAAGGAAAGTGGACTGAAGCCCAAAGCTCAAGTCTAATCCATTTCCCATCATATTTGGCATGACCAAAGCGTACCTAAACAGTCACAGTATTTACACAGGTGAAACTAGAAGCAAGTCAATAAGATATTTATTGAATAACGTGAAAAAGTAGGAAATGCTAGCATTCATTATTTAACTATTACATGCCCAACAATACCCATTAATTCCAGTTCTGATAATGAGGGTGATTGTTTAACAACTAAGTAGGCTGGACATCTGTTACCATTTTTCAGTATCAGCTGCTAGAGACTTCTGAAGCATAATATACTCACACAATTCTCCATTTACCTATTTTATATTCTCATAATTATCCCAGATTTCCAAAATGGGGCTCATTTATAAGTACAGTTTCTGAGTTATTGTTATTTCTGAAACACTTACCCCATATAAGTCAGGTGATTTTTATAAAGTATATCTCAATTTGTCAGAGCAGTAAATAACATTACCTTTTTCATATACATTTGGGGAAATTGAGGTTTAGAGATGTTGATTTAAAGTCTGAAGTCAAGGCCCTTCATATCTAGTTTAGGGGCTATGAAACAAATGTCAATGTACATTAGATAGTTTATAAAAATGCAGATTATTTGACCCTATTCTTACAATTTCTGATACAGAGATTTTGCCTTTCTAACAAATTCTCAAATAAGACTCATACTGTTGGTCCTAGACTACATTTTAAAAAATATTACAGTATAATACATTCCATACACACCTCAACCTTTCATGGTGATGGCTCTCAATCCCAAGTATACCACTGAATTACCTGGAGAGGATTATCAAAATAAGAAAATTACCCTTATCTGTGTGCACACATCACAAAATTCACAACACAGTGACTGGGGATTGTGCCTGTGTATAAGTTATTTTTTAAAGGTTTCCAGGATACTCTAGTGTACATCCACTTAAAAATAATGAAAGGAGGGGCACGCATTGTAGCAAAACGGGTAAAGCTGCCCTCTGTAATGCCAGCATCCCATATAGGCACCGGTTCAAGACCCAGCTGTGCCACTTCCTATCCAACTCTCAGCTATGGCCTAGGAAAGCAGTAGAAGATGTCCCAAGTACTTGGGCCTCTGCAACCACATGGGAGACCCGGAAGAAACTCCTGGCTCTTGGCTTTGGATTGGCTCAGCTATGGCAATTGTGGCCATTTAGGGAGTGCACCAGCAGATGGAAGATTTTTTATTCTCTCTCTCTCTCTCTCTCTGCCTGTGCCCTTCTGTAACTTTTCCTTCCAAGTAAATAAATAAATCTTTAAAAAATAATTAAAGGAGCACAAACTCTGTAATTAAGTATTCAGGATTCAAATTTCAGTCCTCTGCACTTCCAAACCGTGTGACTTTGGAATAATGTCAACATTTCAATTTCCTCTTCTGTTAAATCAGTATTCCAATCTTAACAGTATTGTAGGGATTGAATTAAAAAATGAATATGTAGTGTCTAGTGCGCAGTCAGTACTTGATAAGTATTTCTATTTTACCAAGTTACTTGCAAGACTAGCAGGTCATATTGGTTTGGTTGTGCATTCTCCCATTCCCCAGTTTCGTCTGGCTGTACTTGGAATAAAGCCACATTCTTCACCTAGGCTAATGAATTTCACAACGTATCAGGAGAGTTGCATTTCCTTTCCCATATCTCTTCATCATCCATGTGTCCTAAATTTCAGAGTATAAATGATGACTTTGATATCATCAAAGTTTTGGCTCCATCCATTCTCTGCTATCTTTCCATCCTGGGCTCCTTCCATTCTCTGCAGTATCTGACCCCAGGAGAAGACAGTCAAAGCCCCCTCTATTTCTTCTGACCAGTCTCCCTTCCTGGTTCTTTACAACTCCAACCCATAGTACCATGCCCAACTCATGTCAATATCTCTGTTCACAAAAAGTCTCTATAATCCTGTGCTTCTACATGAGTCACTTGAAGTCCATCAGCAATGTCCCACCCTACTCCTAATTCACTTCTAATGTGCTCTGTCTGCCTCTCCAAATCAACTGTTAAAAATAACAATTTGGGGAATTGAAACTTGGAATGTGGCATTCACTGAAGCCTGTGCCCAGAGAGCCAGTCTCTGCCTCTGAGCCTGCTTAGACTACTTTTGCTAGCCTCTGCCCACACTATGGAGAGTTGTCTCGGTTCTTACAAAGTTTCTGCCCCCTATCATTCCTAGGTTTCTGGTATCCTAGTTAACGATACTAACTGTCCGACTCATCATTAAATGGTGAACTTGGGCCGGCTCCGTGGCCCACTAGGCTAATCCACCTGTGGCGCCGGCACCCTGGGTTCTAGCCCCGGTCGGGGCACCAGATTCTGTCCCAGGTGCTCCTCTTCCAGTCCAGTCTCTGCTGTGGCCTGGGAAGGCAGTGGAGGATGGCCCAAGTGCTTGGGCCCTGCACCCGCATGGGAGACCAGGAGGAAGCACCTGGCTCCTGGTTTCAGATCGGCGCAGTACTCTGGCAGCAACATGCTGGCCGTAGTGGCCACTTGGGGGGTGAGTCAACGGAAAAGGAAGACATTTCTCTCTGTCTCCCTCTCTCACTGTCTAACTCTGCCTGTCAAAAAAAAAAAAAAAAAAGTGACCTTGACAATTCTATGGGCTCAAATTACATAGGATTTACAGACTATATTCTTCAATAATTTAAAGAAAGTTTTCCCAACTTTTTAAATAGATCATTCTCTTTTGCATTCCAACATTTTTTTTTTAAGTATCTTTTTTTTTTTTTTTTTTTGGAGCGGGGGGAGGATACGTGCTGTGTGTCAAACACTCTTCTACACAGCAGGCTACAGCATCCATCTCAAGCCAGGCATTGGGAACAAAAGCCAAAGGCACCAGGCCTGAATGGGCAGAGGGGGATGCTCTCAATCCTGAAGGCATGCCCTCCCTGAAGGGACCAAGGTCATCCTAGCTCCCAGACTTACACTGGGCTCCAGGTTACTGTGAAACAGATGCCAGGAGTGGGGACACAGCCTCAGTCTGACATTCCAAATCAGGAGCGGGCGTGAGCGGCAGGAGTTGAGATCACCCAGAGACCCCTACCAGGTTGTCCCTAACATCAGTCAACCACTTTAATTCTCTACAGCAATTCCACCCCCTACCTCACCTTGCTGTTTATTGCAATAATTTATTGGACTCAAAAATGCTGTGTCATATGGCCTGGTGCTGTGGCATAGTAGATTAAATCTCTGCCTGTGGTGCCAGTATCCCATATAGACACCAGTTCGAGTCCCAGCTGCTCCACTTCTGATGCAGCTCCCTGTTGATGACCTGGGAAAGCAGTGGAAAATGGCCCAAATCCCAGCGCTCCTCCCACTTCCACTTTTCAGGGACCCATGAGACCAAGTGCTGAGGGGAATCTCTTTATCCCTCACAGATCTCTTGTTCCACCCTCCCCCAGTCCCTGGGGGACCCATGTTGGGCACTGGCCCATTTGCAAATACCTCAAGGGTGGAAGGGAAAGGAGGGGTGGGTTTGAACTGCTTTATTTCATTGCTACTAGAAGAAGGAACATGTCTTGCTGCATGCCCTTGCCAGCTGGGGCAGGAACACTGGGGTCACACTGCTGTACTGACCACACCACAGCTGTTACTCATCACATTGAGTTCACATCCCTACAGTGTTTACACAGTATTGCGTGATAGTGACTACCTCAAAAGACTGCCTGAACCACAAGATTGCACATAGGCCACCACATTTTACAAGAGCTACTTCTATGAGGACGTCTTCATGGCAAACTGTTCAACTTCAGACTAAGGTCACCCTGGTTATTAATCATTGTGGCTAAAGATGATTGTTTCAAAATATCTGATGTTATCCTCTTCATTTTTGCCTTAAGAAAGGCTTGAGGAAGAGAAATTAAGCTTCAATGCTGAAAAGATTAAATTGAGATACCAATTCAGTTACCAAGTAAAAGGTGATACTGGCATTCAAGCGAGTCTCAGGCTGTAGGTGAAACATGAATGCTATATTGGAGGAGACTAAACATGATCACTAGGAAGTGGTAATGGAGAAGAGTTTCCAGAGCTGAGCTAGGATTGAGTCTCTCCATATTTGAGGAAGAGAGAAAAATATCTAAGAGTATATGTTGCCCCAGAAGCCAAAAAAAATGTTTCCAAAAGGAGGTTGTAGCAAATCACACCAGATGCTGCCCATAGAAAAAGTTCTCCCCCTGGAACCTACCGATATTGCTGACAAACATGTTAAATAATTTAACTGGAGAAACAAAGGTAAAAGTCCAGGTTGGTGTGAATATACACATTTTCAAGGCAGTGGATAAAGCTGCAAGGTGTCCGGCGCATAACAGATCTTCCCAGGCAGACGAATCAATTAATTCACAGGCTTTTATTGGGGTTCCGCTCCCGGGCGAGGTTCCCCGGTCCCAACAGAGCAACAGAGCAGGGGCCAGGGAAGTCACGCGTCAGAGATTGGGAGGGCTCCTTTTATAGATTCAGGGCATGGGGGTTAAAGGTTGAGGCAGGTCTGATGCTCACTGGTTGACCTTTAGGCACCCACACGGACCTTGACAAGGACTTTTCTTCCCCGCAAGTACAGGTAGGGACTTCCCCATTACCGGAAGTGTAGGCCTTCTCTCCTTGCGGATCCCAAAGCTACCAAAAGCATTCCCAATTTTGTTTTAAAGTCCACATTTTCTAAGTGGGTCAGAAATGGCTTGGCACAATGTTAAGATAAACAAGATCCTTTTTGGAGTTCATAATCTAAAGAGAAAGATTTCTAAGTAAACACTTTGAAAATTGTTTAATATATATGAAAATAGAGGTAGGGGTGGATACAGTATTACAGGAGCAATGACAAGAGAACACCCAGCTTTCTGCTTTCTATTTTTGATTTTCACGTAAGATTTTGTGAAAATGTGCTGTTCCTGTAGGTAACATAAGGACAGCCTAACCTACCAAGTAGAAGCAGTCAGCGCAGCACATAATATCTGAATTCCAGAATGGTATCTGATTCTAACACAAATAGTACATCCTCTTCTTATCAGCAACTTAAGATTAGACAGCTTGGACAATGTTTGCCTATTGCATTTCATCGTTTTAAGCTCAAAATAAAACAATCTTCCTTGGTCAAGTCTGGGACCAAACCTAAATTTACTCACAGAAAACAGACCTGAAGCTGAGCAGGCTTTGTTAACCATCACCCTCCTTGTCTTGATTGTTTGTTTTTCTCTCAACAAACAGAGCTTTCCCTTTCAACTCTTAAGAGGTTCTAAACTTAAGTGGAATCGCTGGCTGGGATTTTCTTTCAAGTTAAGTATTGCCTTTAGCAAGGGCATCCCTCAAAATGGATCAGATCCACCCTCTGTAGGAATCCCTCACTCTCAACTCTAGCTGTCTTTCCTCACAGGGGGCCAAGGAAGGTTAATTGGTAATTTCTCTTCGAATATGAAGCCTATTTAGTTAATTGCTTGGGTTTTTGATGTTTATTTTTAGAAGGCTAGCTTAGAGATTTTTTTTAGAAGTTCTTTTCGTTCCATTCACTCTAAGAAATATTTTTAAACTTAAAGACAAATAAAATAAATCTAATTTGGTTCCAAATTATTTAATTAAGTGAATGAGCCCATCAGTCCGTAGAAGTGATATCCCCATTTATAGAAGGAAATGAAATAACTCTCTTTATACATTTTATGTGAAGTTTGAGACAGAAGCAGGAAACAAGCTGTGAAATATCAGATGTGAAAATTTGAACCTCATATCTAACAGAAGTTGAAATGAACTCACCTAAATGTCGCTTTTTCAGAGTCACATTCTCTGATCATACTTTCTAAATTAGGTCACATCCTGTTATTCTGTAGCAAGCACCCGATTCCTTCATATATAACCCTTGTCATAGCACGAAATTTGGCTTGGGAAACTTGTTTATTATTTACCTCCATTAGAACGAAGACTACATGAAATCAGGGAACTATGTGCTTCTTATTTTCCTTCTAACTCCTTTTTACTTATTTTCCAATACTTGGAGAATGTTAAGGTTTTAGTAAACATTTATTGAACAGATAAATGAAATAAAAAATGAATCAATGAAGTTAGTGAGTGACTCTCAGGTGAGAAATATGCAATGCCCTACAATAGTGGCTGTCAATTAGGGGAGCCATGAAAGTAGTAAGATATCATTTGATATCTTTAATAATAATTTATTACTCTGTCTTAATTATTTTATTTTATTATTTTAGTTATTTTACAAGCTACCTAGTAATTGGATTTTTAACATTGATTCTCAGCTTCTTTTCAATAGAATTGGATTACACATTTGCTATGATAATTTAAACAATTAATCTTACTTTTTCATCTTATTTCATGTTTACCTAACATTGTTGTCATTTAGATTCTTTTTTTGTTGTTTATTTAATCAAGTCTGCAAATCCTTTCCTTTTTAAAAGTGTGGAAGTCCTACTACGCTTTTCCTTTCATTAATGACTATTTTTACTCTCCCTGTACTCATGACAGAACTTCATTCTTCACTAGTTAAAAACAGGAAAGACTCTTTCTCCTACCAAGATACACTGTTTTCTCTATCATGAGGCCCTATTTGGCTTCCCTATTTCCATATTGCTTCCATAAGAGAGTTCTAAAATATAACTATGTACCTTATAATATTTCAGACCATGGCAGGCAACAAAAATGGTGGCAACCCTGTAAGAGTATAGCACCTAATGTCATCTCGGCACTACACAACACAATGATAAAACTGTCTTGCAATGCATTGTTCTACAATGTGTTCCTGTCGTGTGGATGTGCCATGCTTCCCCCATTTTCTCCCTTATCCCTAGAGAAGGCACTCAAAGCAATTTCCCATCATGTCACTGTTTCTCCCTACAACTCTTAATGTTTGTTGAATTATTCTAAAGCTAAAAGTACCAAACTACTATTGGAATCTTCTCTGGTATACTTGGATGTTCCTTCTAAACTATACTTAATTGATAGTCTCTCACTCATACGCTCAGTAGAGGTTCATTACTTAAATTCTGTGAAAGAAAATTATCCATGGCACTTTTTTCAAGTATATTCAATTTAACTTATTTTAAACACTGGTTAAAATAGCCTAAATAGACTGCGTATGTCAGAAAAGGAAATGACCTTTTGCTTTAGTCATAGCAACTAACAGAACCTTGCCGCACTCAAGTGGAGCAGGCCATCTGGCTGTCCGTATCCACTGGCACCCAGAATCAGTAAAAACAGCAGAATCACATCATGCCTTAGTTTGCTGTACAGTAGCTCAGGACAAGCACTCAAATATGTTTGTTGGCACCATCATTTTAAGGCCAGATTTATGCTAGAGGTAGATATGTACACTGTCATTTCCCCTACAGACATAAAAATAAGCCTACTCCTACAGTTTGGCACCATGACTTACTTAAACTCTAGACTCAGCACTGCACACTGCATTTTCATATCAGCCTTCATCATCCTTTAGCTACTCCACTTTGGGGCACATTTTCCAACCCACATTGCCAGGTTTCATCTTTTTCCACAAATATCTAGGATCTGCCCCAGTTCTCTTCAAGTAAGGGCATCTCAAAGGATAAAATTTTAGAAATCTTGAATAGCAAATATGTCTGGATTGATGAATAAGGCCATCTGGCTTTAGTAAAATTGGGAAAAAAAGGGAAAATTTGGAAACCAAAATGAAATTAATCCCTAAATTCTTCTTTCTGTTAGTTAAGATGATATTTACCATGTTCAAACTAATTTTAGGAGTCATCTGATATGGTATAAATTATCTTCAACTATAGGGAAATAGCTGCCTTCCTATTTTGTAACAAAAAAGTATACAAATTAGAAGATTTATATGCACAACCACTGCCATATCTTCAGCTATTTCTGCTCCCTTAAAAAAATTAGACATAGATCTTAAAGTAATAGAGATTGTTGAGATCTTAGACAATAGCTTTCAATTTTGACTGCACTGTAAGGCAATCCAGACTAAGTAAATAGTAATCGCTGTGAGTAGAATGCCAAATGAATAGTTCTATAGATTGAATATGATTTTGCCCCCATATTCATGCAGACATTTTAATGCAAAGTCACAAATTAATGGTACCATCAGGGTGGAAATTTATCCAATCGTGGTGTTTAGGAGGTGGGCCTAGGCCTAGTGGCAGGCTGCCAATTATTAGAGAGTCACCCTTAGAAGGCAATTCTATCAAGATGGTTGGTTATAAAAGCTTAAATTGGGCTCAGTCTGTCTCTCCATGTTCACCATGTGATTTTTTTTCTCCACATGCCCTTCTCTGCATGTACTCTGCCTCCATCACAGAAGTTAAACCAAAGGGCCATCCACACTTGGGCTTAGACCCCTAAATTAAATATAAGCTCAATAAATGCTTTCTCTTTAGAAAATTAGTTGCCTCACGTATCTCATTGTGGTAATGAAACCCTGACAAACACAAGTAGCATTGAACGAGCTCCAGCTGGTGTATAGCCTAGTTTAAGAAACAATGCTCCATGCAGTGAAATTCAAGAGGAGAAAAAGAAAGACAGGAAGGAAGGAAGGAAGGAAGGAAGGAAGGAAGGAAGGAAGGAAGGAAGGAAGGAAGGAAGGAAGGAAGGAAGGAAGGAAGGAAGGAAGGAAGGAAGGAAGAGCCAGCTTTGAGGGAGAATGAGAGGAAAATAAGAAGAAAACAAAACAATATAAAAATCATCTTGAGGTGAAAATCAGGTGACTATTTGTGGAGAATCCCACAGGAGTCTCAAAAAGAGTCATGGATCACCGCCTACCTGAAAAGGAGATGAACTGTGGAAACAGTAAAACATTGAGTTAAGAAGTTATCACTAGCCACAAAAATAAAAGTAAAGTGGAGTTATAAGTCAGGAGCTGAGGCAACGCCTAACGTCTGTTAGGGAGACGCCTCTAATCATCATACCAAGCAGACATCACCGGTCAGTCAGATAACAGTGTGCTACTGGCAGTGCCCTCCTACCCACACTGACTGGACCATTCAAACATAAGTAAGGCGGGAACAGTATTGACTGGATTGTTCAAACATAAGTAAGAACCAATAAAAATTGCACAAGTTGGATGATGGCAAACTGGAGCACTGCTAAAAAATGAGGATAAAAGGGGAGCCCTGGCACCGCTCTCCTTCCTTTTGGGGATCATGGCCTGGTGCGTGTAAACCACCGGGAGTGGAGGAAAGAAGAGCAGAGCTGAGCCGAGCTGTCCCTGAGCTATCACCGAGCTGTCACTGAAGAGATCCTGACCCGTTCCTACCTGTTCCAGCCACAGCTCTCGGAGCTGCACCTGTTCCTGAGCGGCCTTCGCTGCTGTTCCTGAGTGGCTTTAGCCACATGAGCTGTCCCGTTCTGGTCTTGTTCCTGTCTAATAAAAGTCACTGTAACACTTCCGGGCTTGCAGCCGAGTAAAGGGCCCAGTGTGTGTGAACTTCTGGATCTCCACATATCCAGAGCTGAAGAGGCAACCCACTACTCTGCATGGAGCAGATAGCGGCACAAGCCAACCTGCAGAGCTGTCCTTGAGCTGTAATATCCCACTGTCTGTGTAAGTGTGTGTGTGTGTGAGTGGGCCCAGTGCAAGCGAACCTCTGGATCTCCTCGCACTTGGAGTCGAAGAGCCAGCCCACTAGCTTTTGCTACGCTGCGCAAGGCGATGACCGGATCAAGAGACCAGTGGAGCTGCTGTGTTGCTGCCCCGCCGCCATGCCTGACCAGCCAAGATGCTGTCTCACCGCCCTGCCTGGAGTCCTTATCCGCCTGCTGCCAGATCTGACCGCAAAGCCAGCCGGACTAGGCCTCTCAGCAGGGGACCTCTCCAACTTCTTGCCTTGCCTTCCGCCTGGGAACTTTGAGCCTACTGCCCAGAGTGATAACCTTCCCACAACTTCCTGCCTGTAAGTGACTGGTCCGAGTTCTGTCCCTGCTGGGACATTGAACTCTGGACACTGTACACTCCCTACAGGAGAAATACATTCATGACAGTAATGCAAGCCTAAATATGTAGCAAACCGATGTTGTATATTGAATCTTTTGCTGTCCTTGTATTGTTCATTGTGGTAGTACTTAAGATTATTATGATAGTGTTTGTTGTGACTTGTAATATAATAATATTGATTTCCTGGCAGATAAGTGATATTGTTAAGATTGGGTAGAGGTATTAAGTTAAATAGTTAAGTGGTTAAGTAGTTAAGTGGATAAGTAGTTAAGTAGTTAAATAGTTAAGTCACATTAAATAGAAGTGTTAAGTTTATTGATGTGTATTAAATAGTATAAATCGATAAGTATATTGATACTGATAAGTGTATTGGCTTCAATGAGCATGCTGATGAGTAGTGTGATATAAAACCCCTGGTGTGTAAGCAATAAAATCTCTCATTGGAAAGACCGTCTTGTGTCCTGGTGTTCCTTTCTTTCTGTGACTGAAGTCGTGCGTCACACTTGCTACTGTCGAGCTGCGAGACAGTAGGTGCTCACGACACTATTAAAAATAGTTTCTTCATCTAACTCTTAAGGAAACAACGCTTAAAAATCATAGGCAAGAGAAATTACCTTTAAGGGGGCCCTTTTGTTGCCCTTGCTGATAACACTTAGCAGTTCCACTGAAGGGAGAGAGATTGAGAAGACTATTATCCTTATGAAAGTGTCCTCTTACGCTTTTTAAAGACTTATGTAGGGTACTTTAGCAGTCCCACTGAAGAGAAACTAGAACTGGACAAGAACATTTTAATTAACAGATTTTTTTCATTGAATCAGATAAAACTATCAGGTCCATTCATTGCACAGCCCCTGTGGCTGGCTAGACACTATTTGGAGTTATAAATTTCCAGGTGAAGAAGAGAACTCAAGTTGTGATCATAAAGCACTTTTGTGTAAGAATTTCCAGTAAACAACCCAAAACGTAAGAAAAAAAGGGACATGATTTAATGCGTTCTCTTCCCAAATAAAATTTCACTTTGATACTTAATTTTGTATTTGCAATTTTTTATTCATTTCCTCAAAGGGGTTCCCTCAAATTGGTTAAGATTTAGACTCCATAAATCCTTGATCTAGCCTTATCTATAGTTGATATTGCCTGCTTATAAAAAGTTATAGAGGAAAACACAAATTTTAAACCAGTTTGCTTTCTTTCAACACGTCTTTAATGAAAAGAAAATTAGGATATTTGCAATCAGCCAATGAATGAGTCAACATTGAGAATCTCTCATAGGACTTCAAGGGGAAGAGCAGTTTTCTTCATGAGGTAGTCATCTCTTTTGTTTGGGAAAGTATACAGATAAGAGTTGCTTTATTAAACCTGAATAATCCAAACACTACCTAATATTTCATAAGAATTTTTTCACCATGAAGTATTTGCAACAGAGAACTATTGGCTATCCCAGGATTATTTATTAGCAGTTCTAAATCCTGCAGCATTAGGTTTCAGACACACATTGATACCTAAATAACATATCCTAATTTACAAGACACCATCATTCATGTATCATTTGATGCAGTTCTCACAATGTGCCCAGAAGGCAAGCATCTTGAGAATTTTTGTCAGGGCTTGTATTCTCCCATAAGCTGATGAAGAAAGTGAACCTTGCAAAAGGTTAAATGAATAATCCACAGTGACTCATAAGGCCACAGCACGAATTTTCACCTGGGAACTCTGACTTTAACTCAGTGTTCCTCCCAGAGTACCACACATTCACTTATTCTTTCCCATTGTCCTGTCATCCTCCACTGCCTTCTCCATACCTACTCCATGCACCTTAGACCTATAATAACTGTTCAAAAAGGACATGTTGGACAACTCAGTATACAGAAAGACTTCATTCATGGGGGTGCTAGTAAGGAAAGAAAGCACACAAAATGGGTTGAGCGTGCCAGTGAACATGAAATGGAAAAACTCATAGATTCTGCAATCTTGTTCCATTAAAACATCAATTTCATTTACTCTATTCAACTCTCTGCCAAAGAACATTCAAATTTTTAATTTTTAATGAAGAGCCAAACTATGTATGTTATGTGCTTAATTATCCCAGAAACAATAAAATGCCCATGAAATCAGAATGAGTGTTTTCATGAATGTGGGGCCTAAATTTGCCCTTTTGTAAATTTTTCTACAGAAATGTTGTCTGCTTCACACACATCTCACTCTCTCAGCTTGATTTCCCTTTCTTTATGGTCAGATTCTTCCTTGCTCAGCTATCATACACAAAGGATTCAGAGATGAAGCAACTGATGCTAATACATAATAGCCCACTACAAGTTTACATAAAGCAAATTTGTATGTTACAAAAAGAAAAATTTTAACATATAAGAAGTTTTGTAGGGTTAAAACAATGCAGTGTATCACCAAGAAAGCAATATACTTTTCCTTTTCCTTATTCTTTTCAATTTTAAAAATGTATTACCCTTTACTATTTTATTTTTTTTACTGTAATTGCATAGAATAAAACTGACATTTCCCTTAAAGTTTATATTCATTTTACCATTCTGAGAACTCTCTTGCCTTTTATTTTTTTTTTTTAATTTTTTGACAGGCAGAGTGGACAGTGAGAGAGAGAGACAGAGAGAAAGGTCTTCCTTTGCCATTGGTTCACCCTCCAATGGCCGCCGCGGCCGGCACGCTGCGGCCGGCGCACCGCGCTGATCCGATGGCAGGAGCCAGGAGCCAGGTGCTTTTCCTGGTCTCCCATGGGGTGCAGGGCCCAAGCACCTGGGCCATCCTCCACTGCACTCCCTGGCCACAGCAGAGAGCTGGCCTGGAAGAGGGGCAACCGGGACAGAATCCGGTGCCCCGACCGGGACTAGAACCCGGTGTGCCGGCGCCGCTAGGCGGAGGATTAGCCTAGTGAGCCGGCGCCGGCCTTCTCTTGCCTTTTAAAGATGACCTTAGATTTCTGCAATATATTCTTGCTTTCCTATGGAAAAATGAAATTAAAATTTTAAATCATTTAATACCAAATATAACACAATACAGCAGAATTGTGTTGCATTTTTAGCTTAAAAATATCAAAAGTACTCACATAAAGAAATGCTAAGAAATCTGATTGGACTAAAACAGAAAATCTTCAATTATAGCAAGAGTACTAAATGTGTTCAAAAATCACCAGTCTCCCAAAGATTCTCTCAGTAATAAATCCAAAGTAATTTCTATAAGTTTAACTGATTTTTAAATGAGAACAATAACTGATAGTATCATCAGTTAATGTCTCATTTTAGAAAGATAAAGAGAATATAGGAAAGCATATAGGAATAGGTACATAATGAATACTGCGCCTATAAATCATATCTGACCAAAAATTTTAACTATAATTATCTGAAGGAGAGAAAAATTAGAAAACTTAAATATTATTCTTCTGCATATGCTTTAATTCTGAAAGCAAATTGTTCAGTGAAGGGATATGCCTTGATTATTGGTCATCATGGTGAGTAATATATATATATACCTAGCAATAATTAAACCTATATACCTAGGTTTCTACATATATTAGAATTTTATGTCTTAAACTATAGAGGAGAAGCCAAAAATCAGCCATCATTGTTGTGATTTAGGTATAAGGCTTCATTTAAACAGATCACAGAATTCAATTATAAACAGGTGGATAATTAATTCACTTATTAATTTACTTCTGGCATAGTACCATTGGCTTTTAAGCATAGTTGATACGTGTATTAAACAAGACCTGAATTATCACTTTTAGATTATAAAGAGATTGATGTACACCAGCCCTTGCTATCTTATTTGATGATATTTAAAACAGTACTTCCAAGTGAAATTTGAATATTTGAGCATGTAAAAATGGAAAACAAAACACAATGAATATGTCTATAGCAACTATAATAGCATTGGTATAATTGTTGGGAATACCTACATCTCATGTTGCTGTGCCTAAGACTGAGTCTTGCCTTCACTTCAGATCCAGCTCCCTGCTAATGAGCTTGGGAGGCAGCAGGTGATGTCTCCTGGTCACTCCTGTGGGAGACCCAGGAGTCCTTGGATCCTGGCTTTGGCATGCCCCAACCTTGGAAGTTGCACTCCCTCATTCTCTGTCATTCTGTATTTCAAATAAATAAAAAATGAATAAATTTTTTTAAAAAGCATCAACATGAAATGAACTAAAAAAAAAAAAGTGTTAACATAATTGGTCATGAAGCCAATCACTTTAAAGGCAAGTCTTTAATGTGACACAAAGAAGTCAGTACTGGAAGTAAACTGACCAAAAATCACCTCCTCAGAACAAAATTGAAGCCTCAATCACAATTTTTAAACTAATGGCATGTCCCTAAAAAACATAGGTAACAACTTTTGTGACTTGATATAAAACAGGAGAAATGATAATAGTCTGTATTTACCTTCATGATTCATTATAGCTGGAGTTACAGAAACATGCTAATAGGGCAGAGAGCATATATTTAAATACAAGCTAATTATTTTCACCTATTAAATAAAAGAAGCAAACATAATTAGTTTCCAGTAATTATGCCCAAACCTCTTAGTTTTTTCTGTGTGGTGACTCTTCCATAAGATTCATCAAACAATACGCTAATAAAGAACATCTCCTCAGGAACTCCACTGGTGGGAGTAGAGTGCCAGCTCTATGTTTTCTTTTTTTTTTTTATTTGACAGGTAGAGTTATAAACATTGAGAGAGGAGAGACAGAGAGAAAGGGTCTTCCTTCCATTGGTTCACCCCCAAAAAGGCCGCCACAGCAGGCGCTGCGCCGATCCGAAGCCAGGAGCCAGGTGCTTCCTCCTGGTCTCCCATGCCGGTGCAGGGGCCCAAGCACCCGGGCCACCCTCCACTGCCTTCCCGGGGCACAGCAGAGAGCCGACTGGAAGAGGAGCAACTAGGACTAGAACCAGGTGTCTATATGGGATGCCAGTGCTGCAGGCGGAGGATTAACTAAGTGAGCCACAGCACCGGCCCCTGTTTTCTAGCTGTGTGTTCTTGATCAGGGTCACTGACCTTTTTGTGCCACAGGCTCATCATCTGTGTGAAACAGCATTGATAACTGTGTGCACTTCATGGCGTTGGAATTGAGTGGATTGAAAGAACTATTCCTGACACATAAGCTCAAAGTCAATATCATCTGTTTACTACCACTACTACTACTTCTATCACCACTGTCACTGCTACTGTTATTCCCATTCTTGCAGCCATATGAAGTCCATTAAATGGCAAATATTCCTAGGTAACAGGTTCCTGTTTAACCCTCTAATTGTAACATTTCTTTGCAGAGTACAAATATCATCATTACTTTTCTTTCAGGTCAGTTTTAAGTAAGATATCCATCCAACGATTTGCAATCTATTCTCATACTAAGTGGTGGGCTATTTACAAAGCTAAAATTTAAAGGGCAAGGGGCCAGCCCTGTGGTACAGCGTGTTAAGTCTCAGCACCAGCAACCCATATGGGTGCCAGTATGAGTACTGGCTACTCCACTTCCGATCCAGCTCCCTGCTAATGTACCTGGGAGGGCAATGGAGGATGGCCCAAGTTCACCTACCACCCAGGTGGGAGACCCAGAAGAAGTTCCTGGTTCCTGGCTTTGGCCCTGGCCCAACCCTGGCTGTTGGAAGCCATTTGGGGAGATAACCAGCAGATGAAAAATCTCTTTGTCTGTCCCTCTGTTTCTCTCTGTAATTCTGCCATTCAAGTAAATAAATAAATCTAAAAAAAAATTTTAAAGGGCATATCAACTGCCATATCAGGGGATATGACCATTCATTAGTGTGCTTTTAAATTGTATCTTTTTTATTATTTTATGTTTTTAAAGCCTAGGTGTTTATTTTTTTAAAGAAAACCACCACATTGTTGTAACTGTTCAATTAAAGGTGTATCTCTTACTTTGATGTCCATAATACTCAACATATCGAGACTCCTGAGGTCAGTGGGCTAGAAAAGGAGAAAAACAGCAATGCATTGTTCCCATCACAGCTACCTCTTCCCATTCATCCCTGTGCATTCTTGCAGGTTAACACATAAATGGCAATGTTTCTTCTAGGCCAAATACAAACTTTATCAAAAACAACATTCAAAATTCTTATCTTAGCAATGCAAGCCCTGACTTGCCTTTCCAACTTCATTTCCAGTTACATTATTCTTTATTTTTTCTCTTCTTTTCTCACTTTGGTGGTGCTAGACTTTCTCAAGTCCGTATTCCTCATTCCCCACACCTACTCTGTGTTCTCTCCATTTAAAATGTCCTCCTACAAATGGCTCACCAACTATCTGATGCCCCAATCAAATGTGCATATCCCATAGTATCTGCACTGACCTGCAGTGTGAAGCACTTCTAGGAACACCTGAGGTCCCTGCCCCTAAATTTCCAACGCATTTTTCCCACCCTCTGGTATAAATGAATCTTGCCCTGTATATTTGTTATTTATTAGATCCTACTAACCATAAGTAGGGGCCAGTGTTGTGGTATAACAGGTAAAGCTCCAATCTGTGATGCTTGCATTCCATGTGGGTGCCTGCCTGGTTGTGTCCAGGTTGCTCCAATTTTGATTCAGTTCTCTGCTTATGGCCTGGGAAAAGCAATGGCGGATGGCCCAAATATTTGGGCTCTTGCAACCCATGTGGGAGACTCCTGGCTTTGGCCTGGCTCAGCCTGGCCATTGTAGCCACTGGAGGAGTAAACCAACAGATGAAGAATCCCTCACTCTCTTTCTCTCTCTCTCTCTCAACCTTTTTTCATTATTTTTGTGATGCTTGTTATTCATATTCTGATCCATTACTACTTAATCTTATCATATATATATATATATTTTGGAATAGTCACCTACTTAAAAGAACTCAATTAAAGAATGACTGTGGTATGCCAAGCATCTTTAGTAAATAAGATTTTCCAAGGCTAATATAAGGATGAAAACTACAATATATATATCATACAGATATATATATATATATATATATACAGATGTATATATCTCCCTCTCTGTAATTCTTACTTTCAAACAAATAAAAAATAAATAATTTTTAAAAATCGTAAGTATTGCAGATCAACTTCATGTCCTATGAAAAGATAGGATAAACAAAATCTCTTCAGAATATTTTATGACAAAACCGAGAAAGGTGATATAGTCCTGAAATTCAAAAACCTAGGTAGGTGCTATGTATGATCTGAAAATTTGTGTCCCCTTAAATCTTACATGCTGAAATCTTAGCACCCAATGTGATGGTATTAGGGGGTGATGGCTTTGATGAGATGATTAGGTCATGAAGACAGAATCATAATGAAAGGGATTAGTACCTATACAAGAGGCACCCAGCAGAACACAATCATACCTTCAACCACATATTGAATCAGTGACTTGATCTTAGACTTCTCAGCTACTATAATTATTAAAAAAAATCTCTGCTGTTTATAGCTACCCAATTAATATTATTTTGTTAGGACAGCCTACATAGACTACGAAATCAGGAGTGTTGCTATCTCGTAGAATTTACCACTATGGATTCAGAACAAGGCATTCAGTAAGTCAGTAGTTGAAAACCAGTTACTAAGCACCGTACTGAAATGCTTCAGGAAACAGAACACGTCTATAACAGCCACTGAAATTACAATGTTAATGGTTATGGTTATGAAAATCCACTGTCATTCTCCAAAATCCCTTTGACTTCTTTCCAAGCCCAAAAGGCAAATTTACAGGAATGTGTCTTTCAAGTCTTTGATGAAAGCACAAATACAAGGATTTTTTAAGTTTTAAATAATTTTTATTACACCAAATTATTATAATTTTCTAATCATCAGTTATGGATGTTCAACTCTTTTTGCATCTGATTTATACATTAAACTTTTAAAAATCTATATAAACAGAACAGATTCCACATTTTTCCATTTTTTAAAGGTTTATTTATTTGAAAGAGTTGCACAGAGAGAGAAGGAGAGGGAGAGAGAGAGAGAGAGAGAAAAAGAACAGTCTTCTATCCAATGGTTCACTCCCCAATTGGTCGAAATGGCTGGAGCTGTGCTGATCCAAAGCCAGGAGCCAGGAGCCAGAGGCTTCTTCCAGGTCTTCCCACATGGGTGCAAGGGCCCAAGGACTTGGGACATCTTCTACTGCTTTCTTAGGCCACAGCAGAGAGCTGGATTGGAAGTGGAGCAGCTAGGACATGAGCCAGCACTCATATGGGATGCCAGTATCTCAGATGGTGTCTTTCCCCACTAAGCCACAACTCCAGCTCCAAAAAACATTTTTAAATTGAAGATCCAGTTGTGTTCATCTAAGCAGAGCAGGGGCCGGGCCCCACTCTTCTTCCCTGGCCTCTTGTAGGAGGGGGCTTGCTGTAGCCCCATGCCTCCAGGGCACATGGCCTTCGGGCCATGTGCTCTAGGCTTCTTGGCCCAGATACAGGCCTAATTGCTCATCCACGTGGCTGGTTCCTGGTGCTAGGTATGAACCCCTATTTACCTCTCTCTCTCTCTCTCTTTTTTTTTTTTTTGCACAAATTAATGTTTATTCCACCTTTGTGTCATATTCCTGGATCCTTCACCAATGTTACATGTTACCTCTCTCTCTTAAATAAAGCTCTCACTCTCCTATGCATCTTTCTCACTAAATAAAAGCTTAAAACGTAAAAAAAAAAATAAAATAAAATGCATGTTCTTGAGAAAAGGCTCACATGACAGTGCCCTCAACTCTGAAAGAGATATTGATAAAGATCAATCAGTAAATTTGAGCTTACAAAATTCCAGTGTTTTATAGTTGAATAGTTTACATAATACAATAGTGTCATTTTGTAAACAAAAAAAAATCAACTTCATTATTTTTACCTTTAAAACACAATTTGACAACTTGGGTATTTAATTGTTTGATTATTAATGAAATTTCTGAAAAGGAAAATACCTCTTTTTTGCCTATTCCAAAGTATTTATAGAATAAAAAATATTGTGGAATGAATGTAGATGGATAGAGGCTTTGAATAAAAAACTCAAAGGGCAAGACTTTAAATTGTTTTCAATACATATGTTGCAGGCCATGTTTAATGCCAAACTTTAGTCAACCTTTTTTCATTATTTTTGTGATGCTTGTTATTCATATTCTGATCCATTACTACTTAATCTTATCATATATATATATATATATATATATATATTGGAATCGTCACCTACTTAAAAGAACTCAATTAAAGAATGACTGTGGTATGCCAAGCATCTTTAGTAAATAAGATTTTCCAAGGCTAATATAAGGATGAAAAATACAATCATTCATACCTTTGCACCATTTCAAATGATATCTTGTATAATGATTCTTAGCTTATAACTGTACTGATTTTAAAAGTTCAAACTAAGTAACGTATTCTTAGCTTTGACATTAGCAATTTATAAGAGATCCAGAGGAACTAGACAGATTTCTATTTTAAGACAGATTTAAAAGTATGTTAGAAGTGTATACTGAATGAACCTCCTACTTGCAGAATTTTTTGAATACCATCTCAAAACAGAAATATTTTTTTTTATTCTTTGAAGCACAGAAATTTGACTCACAGCATCTCTAGACACTAACAGGTTGGCATAGCCAATATGATCTTTTGATCAAAATGAAGGAAACACTGTATTTTGAGCTCAGCCACTGGTTATAAAATAAATTAGACAAAAATCTGAAGGTGTAAAAGCTTTATTTTCTTCGACTGGAGATACAATTAGCAAGACATGCTGAGAACCTTGGGTGAAAGGCACAAATAGGTACTATTATTCTCATTTTCTGCGTCAGTGTATTTACTAGTGTAATAAAATGGAAGGGCATTAACCTGGGAATCTGTAAACTTATGTCCTACTTTTGGCTTTCTGTCTGAACTTGCCCATATAATGTCTCTATGCTCGTGTATGAAATAAATGTGTTAGTCCTTGAATCTGACTTTCTCACAATTATTGCTCTTAGGATAAAAAGTTCAGGAGTTCAGATTAAATCTTGCTTAATTATGTAACTTTCTCCCTTGCATTAACACCATATCAAATGTATCTTTATATATACACATATGCAAGAGTACTTCAAAATTTCATGAAAAGTAAAATTAATGGAAAAGTGTATTCGGGTGTAAAGAGTTTTGAAATACACATGTAGTTTTTTTTTTTTTTTTTTGACAGGCAGAGGACAGTGAGAGAGAGAGACAGAGAGCAAGGTCTTCCTTTGCCATTGGTTCACCCTCCAATGGCCGCCACGGCCGGCGCGCTGTGGCCGGCACACCGTTCTGATCCGATGGCAGGAGCCAGGAGCCAGGTGCTTTTCCTGGTCTCCCATGGGGTGCAGGGACCAAGCACCTGGGCCATCCTCCACTGCACTCCCGGGCCACAGCAGAGAGCTGGCCTGGAAGAGGGGCAACCGGGACAGAATCCGGCGCCCCGACCGGGACTAGAACCTGGTGTGCCGGCGCCGCTAGGTGGCGGCCTGTAGTTCTTTTTTTAAGATTTATTTATTGAAAGGCACAATTACAGAGAGAGAGATAGAGAGAGAGAGAGAGATAGTTTCCATCTGCTGGTTCACTCCGCAGATGACTGCAACAGCCGGAGCTGCGCTGATCTGAAGCCAGGTGCCAGGAGCCTCTTCCGGATCTCCCACACGGGTGCAGGGGTCCAAGAACTTTGGCGATCTTCCACTGCTTTCCCAGATCATAGCAGAGAGCTGGATTGGAAGTGGAGCAGCCAGGACTCAAATCAGCACCCATATGGGATGCCAGCACTGCAGGCAGCAGCTTTACCCGCTACGCCATAGCACTGGTCCCTATAGTTCTTTTAATACGATGTATTTTCTATTAATTTGGAGGATCCCTCATATGTATGTAAATGTATTTGTATCAGTATGCTTGTACATTTACACTCATACACATATATTACATATTTTATGAAAGAATTTATAAACTGTCAACTGTGGCATATTTACCTCATTTACACCATTAGACATTCATTGAATGCCTATAGGAGCCTAAGTCTTTGTTAAGATTTAGTCATGCAGAAAACAATGACACTGCTTTATGAGGCAAGAGTCATTAGAAAATTTAAAGAAATACATAAAGACCAAAATGTTTCAAGGTCTAAGACAAAATTATATATTATATTATATATATAATATATAAGCTAAAGAAAGGCAAAAGAGAAAGAGCAAATCATTTAATAGATCCATGCTGGACACCATCCAAGACTTTGGTATACTGTAGTTATGAGAAGGGCCTCATAATAAAACTTCTAATCTCTATGGCATGAGTGAATAAATAAATGACTAATATTAATGAATAGAAACCTAGTAGACACATGCTTATTCAATAAAAAAGAAGATAATCTTATTCTCAAAGTAGAATTAGTTAAACTTCACATGTACTTGCACCAGGGAAGCCCTCCCTTGGAGAATTAAACAATGAGTTCAAAATGTCCCTTTACCCCATGTATAAGAGCAATAATAATCTTAATTTTTGAAGGCACATGCTTTTAAATACTAATAAATCTTTAATGGGAGTGGACATTTGCTGCAGCAGTTAAGATGCTGCTTAGGACATCCTCAACCCATATCATTTCAGAATGCCTGAGTTCACATGTCAGCTCCACTCACAAACCCAGCTTCCTGCTAATGTGTACCCTGGGAAGCAACAATGATGGCTCAGGTAGTTACGTCCTTACTACCCATGAGGGAAACTTGGATTGGGTTCTTGGCTTGTGGCTTCCTCCTTGCTCAGCCCTGACTGCTGCAGTCACTTGAGAAGTGAACCAATTGATGGTGAAGATCTCTATTTCTCTCTATCTCTATCTCTATCTCTATCTCTATCTCTATCTCTATCTCTCTATATGTGTGTGTCAGTCTGTCTCTCTCCCTTTCAAAGAAATAAATCATTAGAAATTTTTAAAAATAACATTGCCAATTTAAAAAGACTCTCAGGAACACGTGTCATAGTGAAGCAGATTACGTGTCACCTGTGCTGCTGGCATCCCATATGGGCAGCAGTTTGCTTCTGGCTGTGTCACTGCCTACCCAGGTCCCTGCTAACTTCCCAAGAAAACAGTGGAAGTTGGCCCAAGTGTTTGGGCTCGTGCCTCCCACATGGAAGACCCATAATAAGCTCTTGGCTCCTGGTTTCAGCCTAGCCCAGGCCTGGCTGTTGTGGCCATTTGGAAAGTGAGTCAGTGGATAGAAAATCTCTCTTTCTCTGTGTCTCTCCCTCTCTCGCTGTAACTCTGCCTTTCAAATACATAAATAAATCGTTTTTTTTAAAAAAACTCGATGTGTTCCATATTTTAAAATTAGAGATTGTAATTTATTTCTACCCAGATGCCTACGATGTTTGCTGCTATCATCCACAATGATCATATCCTATTCTGAATTCTTCCACTACTTAATGTTCATACTATTCACTTAGTTTTTGTAAATGAGCCTTGTATATATGGTCTATCTCTGTAGATATACTGTAAAATCTTTTAGGGCAAGTGTCACAAAACATATCCTATACCTGGCATAGTATTAGCAACCAAATACTTGTTGATTATGATATTGGGTCACTTTCAAAAAAAGTTTCACAAATTTTCTTCTCAAAATTATTCCCCTAAACTAAATTTGCCTTAGTGTCCTCACAGCACTGTGCTATGTATTCAGGACACAAAGCATTAGAACGCACGTTCCTTTCTCTAAAGAAACTATAATTTAGTTTGGAAGACAGAAAACTTCATAAAAAAGAACACTCAAGGTGACATATAATTGTCAAATGAGGGCTTAAAGGAAATTAAACATAGAAAGGAAAACCTATATCAAAGAGACATGTGGAATTTAAGAATATGAGTTCTTTTTTTGTCGTGACTTAGAAATTTGTGCACAGGATATTCTACTTTTACTGAATCCTGGCTGAGAAAAGCACTTTGCTATCAAAATGGATGGAAAATTCAGCTCATTCAGCTTACAACAGAATTTTCAAAGATAAATGATGTTACAGAAAATAATTCATCAATTCTCTGATCTGATGAACTACTCTACCTACAGATACAGTAATTAATCTTATTTTTATAAATCTCAAAGGTGTGGAATTCTTAGTATTTTTATTAAAAATACATAATCAAATGTAATATTAATAACAGATCTAGTTATTTGTGAATTTCTGCTACTCTAAAGGTTCACACTATATTAGTAATAAAAAGTATATGACTATGAAATTTAAATTACAAAGCTCCAATCTCTTGAGTTATTGAAAAGTTTACTGACTTAACCATATCACAGATTCATTATTTAAATTCTCTCATTCCATAAGAGTTGTAAATGGAAGGGTTTCCAATAACATGAAAATATCTAATGAAAAGAGTTCTGAAAAAGTATGAGCAGATTCATAGATGCAGACCAACCTTAGGGGAACTGAGAAATCCAAAATCTGTTGTCCTCTAGCTTCTCCTCTTTGTCTGTTTCCTCTTCCTAAGAAGCTCTCCACTCGTGTCATTTGTCTCATTTCCTTATCAGAGGCAGATATGACTGAAAAAGGATCAAGATATGAATTAGATGGGGCTATGGATATCAAATTGAATAGCTTGGATTTATACAATAATTTGATGACTTTTTAACTGTGATGTTTAATAGACTATGATAGCAATAGTTTATTAATACATATGGCAATCAACAACTTATAATAATATAGTTTTAACATATTATTTCTCACATCCCTTTCAGTTCGTTGTATTTCAACATGCAATGTTTTGAAGGTGAGTAGGAGGGAGAAAGCAAAGCAGACAGCTAATCACACTGAAGCTAGGTGTGTCCCTTCTGGTTTGTGTTTCACAGGAATACCAATTATCTTGTATATGAAAGCAAAAAAAATGTTGAGAAACACTACTTTAGGAAAGAGAGACCAATAATTTACTTCAAACAAAGGAGAAATGTTAACATATCTGCATTTAAAAGTAATCTATCTATATACTGGATGGTCCATTAGAGAAAAGCAATACTGGAATACAGGGCAAGACAGGTATTGTCAAAATGCATTGAAAGATGAGGGGCTGACCTAGACAGCGTGCATAAAACTGACAAATTCAAAAGCGATTTATCCATTAGTCATTTTTCTAAACTCGGGATCAATCCTGCAAGTAACTTCAAAAAGAAGAAAATAATACAACTTTCATACATAGCTCTTTGCACAAACTTTATTTACTAATTGAAGATTGTTCAGAACCACTGCTTTGAAATTTTCTTTTCACAGCTCCAACCTTATCAGTCGTTTTACAACCACTGCACTCAGGTCCTCTTTTGTCCTAATCTTTGCTCTCTGAAGCAGAAGAAAGAAACTCCATCTCTAATGGGGCAAAGCAGCTGATTGGTAGAATCAAATTATTGTTGCCCAAACTGATTCCAATTAATGAAATCCATTCCAGTAATTTAAAAAAAAAGATCTTTGACAGATAATCTCAAAGAAATCACAACCCAAACATCTCTGAACTAATAAATATTTGTTTATATGAATAAATGTCTCATTTTTATTAATGTCTGCATTAAATAATTAGAGACATAGAAACTCTGAGAGCTCTTCCTAAGGGAGTCATCTGATCAGCCTTCCACAGAATGATTACATATTGCCTACCTGAACTATTAGAGTATGGCTGTCAAATCTCCATTTATGATGAAGAAATAAACATATGTCTATAGAATATGTCTATAATTCTACTAAATTGAGTAATTACTATGTACATGCTATGATTTATCTTTAAGTTATCATAATGAGATTCAATAATTATTTGGCTTTCTAGATACAATTATAAATAACAAATTCCTGGTTTATTATCTTTTAAGAGATGGCTAAAGACCTTGGTGATGTTTTTATTCCATACTCTGTTTTGAAGTTTGAAACTTCTATTTCATCTTTAAAAAATCACAATTGTTTTCTATTTAGTGGTGATTCATTTGATTATATACAAAATGGAGATATGTCCCACTTTTATCAAGTTGCCTTATTAGCCTTAGGTTTTTTATTTTTTTAGATTTTTAAAATTTATTTGAAAGGCACAGTTACAGACAGAGAGAAGGAGAGAGAGAGAAAACAAAAAATCTTGCCTCCCCAAATGGCCACAATGTCTAGGACTAGGCCAGATTGAAGCCAGGAGCCCGGAGCAGTCAGGACTTGAACTAGTGCCTATATGGGATGCTGGCATCGCAGGCAGCAGCTTTAACCACTATGCCACAATGCCAGCCCCTATAGCATTTTAAGCAATTTATTTTAGACTTATTATTGCCATTTAATAACCATAAATCTTGGGAAAAATGGAAACAAAAAACATTATTTTTTTCATTCTTGACCCTGACCCCTTTCTTTTTTATCTTCTCTATTGGAAGTAGTTTCTACCCGATACTGAGTAAAACATTTTTGAAGGCTTCATGATCCTTTGGCCAGTGTTAGGTAATTGGAAATTGATCATAAATAAGTTCATGTCACCAGCACAGTCAGGTTTCATAAAATACAGGGTTCTACAAAACTTAAACAATCATACAGTCCAGGATTTAGTAATTTTTTTCTGGATATATACACAAATAAAACAAATATTCATTACCCTGCTTGTTTTACCATTCTACATTTCATAAATATGCCAGAACATCACATTGTACCCCATAAATGTATATAATTATAATTTGCCAATAATATATAATATTAAAAATATTTTCTTAAAAACACAAGTGGGGCCAATGTTGTGGTAGAGAGGATTAAGCCACTGCCTGCAAAGCCAGTATCCCAAATGGTCACCAGTTCAAGACTTGGCAGCTCCACTTCCAATCCAGCTCGCTGGTAATGCATCTGGAAAAGCAGCAGAAGATGGTCCAAGTGCTTGGGTCCTGCCACCCTTGTGGGAAACCCAAACAGAGATCGGTCTCCTGGTTTTGTCCTGGCCCAACCCTGGCTGTCACAGTGGATTGGGGATTGAACCAACAGATCAAAGATCTCTCTCTCTGTCTCTCTCTCCTCTCCCTCCTTTTCTCTCTCTGTGACTCTGCATTTAAAAGAAATGTCTTTTCTTTAAAATAATAATAAGAAGAATTTACACAGTTCTGTTCCCAGTAATCAAAATCTGACTTTGAGGCCGGCGCTGTGGCTCAATAGGCTAATCCTCCACCTTGCGGCGCCGGCACACCGGGTTCTAGTCCCGGTTGGGGCGCCGGATTCTGTCCCAGTTGCCCCTCTTCCAGGCCAGCTCTCTGCTATGGCCAGGGAGTGCAGTGGAGGATGGCCCAAGTGCTTGGGCCCTGCACCCCATGGGAGACCAGGAAAAGCACCTGGCTCCTGGCTCCTGCCATCGGATCAGCGCGGTGCGCCGGCTGCAGCGGCGGCCATTGGAGGGTGAACCAACGGCAAAAGGAAGACCTTTCTCTCTCTGTCTCTCTCTCTCACTGTCCACTCTGCCTGTCAAAAAAAAAAAAAAAAAATCTGACTTTGAACTTCAATCCTCTATAGCTAAAGCCTGGCTGTAAACTTGCAATTTCAGAAGTGGATGACAGAAGGAATGGGTCTCTGTTCTCTCTTCCTCTTCTCTGCTTACCTGTTTCTGTAAATACAAGTCTCCTAAATTAAAGAAAGTTGAGAACCACCCCCCCAAAAAAAAACAGCAGGGGAGTTCTTGCTTGAATAGGTAATATCACAATATGGCATTAGAAGCTCAGCCTCACTGATGTTTAAAGCTTCTGAGGGCTCTTTGGAGTCTATTCTTCTCTGGCTATCATACTTGTTCTGCTTGTTCATTCTACTTGTTCATTAACTTTCCTGCAGATTCTACTTGACCCTTAGCTGTAATGCCCAGGTGTCTACTTCATACATAGTCTATTTCATTTTTTCAAGATCTATTTTACTTATTTGAAAGGCAGGCAGAAATGGAGAGGGAGAGAGAAGAAGGGTAGGGGAAAGAGACAGAGAGAGATCTTCCATTCACCAGTTCACTCCCAAAATGGTTCAACAGCTGGGGTGGGCCAAGCTGAAGCCAGGAGCCTAGAATTCCATCTGGGATTCCATGTAAGTATCAGAGGTCCAAGTGCTTGGGCCATCTTCTGTTGCTTTCACAGGCACATTAGCAGCGAGCTGGATCAGAATCAGAGCACCTGGGACTCCAACTGGTGCTCCAATATGGTATGCTGGCATTGCTGGAGGCAGCTTAACCCTCTGTAACAGTGCCACCAGCTCCCATTCATAGAAGATCTTTGTAACCTAGATATCTGTTATTTAAGTATGCACATTTCATGCATTTCATATATACAAATTTAGGAACATAGTGATTCTTCCCACCTTACCCTCCCTTTTGCTCACACTCCTACCCTTCTTCCTCCTCCCTCTCCTATCCCCATTCTTATTTTTACAAAAAAATCTAATTTCAATGAACTTTATACACATAAGATTAACCTACACTAAGTAAAGAGTTCAACAACAGTATGAAAAACAAAACAAAACAACAACAAAAAAACTGTTCCTGAACAGTAGAGACAAGGACTGTAAACAATCATCAAATCTCAAAATGTAAATTTCCCTCCAATACATAGTATTTTAGGTACTCAATTAGTTATCACAGATCAGGGAGAACATATGGTATTTGTACTTTTGGGACTGGCTTATTTCATTAAGTGTAATGGTTCCCAGTTGCATCCATTTTGTTGCAAATGACAGGATTTCATGTGCTCCCACTCTTGTTTGCAGGCTGATATATAAGAAATGTCCAAGGTTTATGCCCTTCCACTAACGAGAATGGAATTGTTTCACAACATTTTCTTTTATCCATGCCACCTTAGGAGTCATAGCTTTTGTCTGAAGAATATCAGGACATTTGTCATATAGCATACCAGACAGTGTGCTATATCCCAGTCTTGCTATATCGCAAGACACCCCAGTCTCTTCAAATATTCCCAGTGAAGGCCTTTGCTGTAGGTTTTGGGTAGAAGAGGAAGGACTCCTAATCCTTACCCTTAAGGAAAACCTCTCACAAATACTCTTCTTACTTCATTTACCTCCCTAGTCTTTTCATTAAGAGTATTATAGGCAGTTACCTTTCTTAAATGATTAGTATTTTGGTCTGCCATTTCATTCTGAGATTTTATATCCATGGAATCATGATCCCTCAGTGCAAACTTCTAATTTTCACATGCTGTTACATTAATATTGGTCATTTTAATATGAAAACATGCCATTAAATTCCTAAGTAACTAATGAAAATACTTATCATTGCACAGTCTGCTTACCTACAGATTTTACATTTTTTATAAATCTTTCTGCAAAGAAAGGAGTGTATATTTACAAGCATACATGCAGTAGTCTTATTCAGATTTAAGAAAGATGTATCTTTTACTCTCTGCTTCCTCTTCTTCCAAACCAACTAGGAATCAATATGCAGATGCTAGATTTACAGATTCCTTTAGGATGGCAGATCAATAAAGAAGCCCGTTGAAAAATACTTGCCTAGAGGAGAATATAAACTTTTTTCTTAATCTCTATAAGGTTTTGCTCCGAAGACCAA